GCGATGGCTTCTTGCTCCTCAGGGCTCAATCGCTCACTGACAAAGCGCTCAATTGCGCCGCCATGTCGCTGATTGGCGCTGGCCATGTACTCCTTTACCCATTTGGTGACGTCGAGAATCTCGGGGAAATCATCCTTAGCCAATCCTCTGCAAGTGTTGAGTGCAGTAAAAGACATGCCGAAGCCAATGTCATCAACATCTGCTTCCGCAACGACCTCATCACCAGCGCCAGCAGCGACAGTAGGGGGGTTAACAAGTAGTGAAAGAAGCTTGCGACAACTGTTGGCCCAGCCCTTCGCGAACTGTTGAGCAAACGCTGACGAGTCACACAGAGTCTTGGTAAGAGAGACAACTGCAACCTTTCGATCAACTGGACGTGCAATTTTGTCTGTTTCACCAAGGACAAAAGTAGGGTAGACCTTGGTGAAAACGCCGTCTTCTACTGAGTTTGACTGCTGGATGAAGTAGTCGGCTCCATAGCCAGCCTCAAGACGAGCAGATACAAGATGGTAGAAGCGGACAAAGCGGAGTTTTAGAGACTCGGCAGGTGTTCCTTGAAGCTTCGTGTACACTAGCCTGAGAATTGTGCCAAAGTAATCATTGAGGACAGCTCTACAACCAAAAATTAGATCTCAATACAAGCGTGTGAAGATGAAAGACTTACGGCTCAAAGCTCTTCACAATGGAATCCAAGATGTCAAAGGCAAGTACCTCAGACTTTTTGCCACTGAGCAGCTTCTGGAAAATTCCAAGAACGGGCGCAATTTGTCCCTCAGCCTGAATAGCCTGGGATGCCCGAGGAATGACAGCCGATAAGAGACGTGTGCACGCAGGAACGTTTCCTCGAGTCTCCCACAGTGTGGGGTTTAGGAGAGGAACTAACAGTGCCTTGTAATTCTCCGAGATGGTCTCAGAGGGGCTAGATTCGAGAAGCTGCGCAAGAATCTGGAAGACATATTGCATGAATTCTGATGGGATGTTAGCAGTGTTCACAAACTTGGAACTGCGTGACCTACCCGTGACATCCTCGACCAAGATTTGATGGAAGGGTCCCCACAGCTTCTCGTTGAAAAGAGCAGCATTGCTAGGGGCACAGTATCGGACAAGAGCACCAATAGCCTCGAAATGGTAATAATAGAAGCGGGGGTTGCTGGGGTTTTGCTTCATCACATTGGTGATGAGGATGAGATGGGTCAACACATTGTCCAGTAGAGGGATAGCTCCGTCTTTGATAACGATCAAAATTCTCATAACACAACGCATTAAAAACTCATTCTCCTGTAGCTTGGCGGGGCTTGATTCCTTTTCAATGAGCTTGAAGAGATGGCCGAGAAGATCCTTGGCGAAGGGCTCAATGTCTGCACGGGGAAACATGGGGTTGCCCAAATCGTCGGTGAGAAACAACACCCTCTCCACTGCGATAGCAGCATAAGAGTAAACGACGTAGTTGTCTGAGTTCAGGTTTTGGATCAGTGGGCCCAGAGCCACCTTCCACTGCTCTTTGGACAGCTGACTTCGGAAAGTGTAGAGGTACTTAATGGCGTCAACCTTCGAGATTGGTTCAATACCTTGTGTGCTAATAAGATCTTGGGCAATGTGTTGCTCAAAAAATTCAACGACGTTGACAAGGGGGTTAACAGTCTTTACACCTTGAGCAGCAGTTACCGCACCCTTGGCAGCAATAGACAGGAAGAGATAGATAGCAGTATCCTTGGACTTCCAATCACTGCTTCCTTGAGACAAGTAGTGAGTAATATATTTGGACACCACCGTTGTCACAGGCGCTTCAAATCGTTCCTGAAGCTTTCGAAGAAAGTCGGTAGCAGATCGACGACGGGAGTCTGTATCAGACCCCTCCAGATCCCTGCGAATGAATTCAATAGGCTCGTCCTCAAAGAGCTCAATATCCGATTCGCGGAGCGCCACGTTCGGTAGAATAACCTTCTCGACAATCTGTGTCAAAACATCCTCGCTATTGAAGATTCCTGAATGTTGTGCAGACGACGCAATAGCGGTAAGGAAATGCAGGGCTTTGCTGACAATGAGGTCGTATTTGGTCTCGGGGCCTGTTGAAGACAAAAGGTTCCACGCTTTCTCAATGAAGGGCTGACAGTACTTGGAGAAATCCTCATCGTATTTGACGGTGAAGAGTTCAAGGATCTCGCAAATATCAGCCTTTACGGTATCAACTATGCTCGTCTCGGTGTCGTCATCAGTCTCCAACAGGGGGTTGGAGTAGGTAAGGTACTTGTGAAGAAGTTCGGAGATGCTGCCGAGATTCTCCTCAAAGATAGGAGGTAGATCATGACAAGACATGTCATGGAGAATTTTGATTTGAAGGTCCAAGGCCTCGAACCAGCCATGCAGCACTTCCTTCTTGTCGTTGTTCTCGGCAATCTTCTTATCGGTTGTCTAATGCGCCAGAAACCATGAGCACGAAGCAGACAAGAGTATTCACTCGCCATGACTTACCACGAGAAGCTGAACGAAAGCTTGTCCAAAGGTCTCAATCACATGATTGATCTCCATATAAAGTTCGTCTGTTCGAAAGAGAGGTCGCCATCTAGCAAAGATAGAATGTGCAACCTCGAGAACACCGACGTTGACCTTGGGGTCAGTAGCGGAAAACCGGCTGACGAGTTCCTACACCAAAAACCGTCAGTACATTATATAGTAAATGGCCGTCAATATCGCGAGCTCACCTGGGTGAGGGTATCCCATCGTCGCCAGAAGTCAGAGTCTGCAATAACGCTGATAGCGTCACCAAGCTGGGCCTGGATATTGGGGGGGGATGAGATCATGAGGCCAATGAGGCGCTCCTTGATGACTTGAACTTCATCTTGAGGTAGCTTATAGTTGCCTTCCTCGTCCTACACGGAGTTCGCGGTTTAGTATTCTGGGTAGGTTCGGTCGAGAAAAAGGCAAGACGGACCACATAGTTTGTTCGAATAAAATTCTTGAAGGCCAATGCAGCAGCGAGTCGAGTCTTCGGCGGTAGGGTGCCGGAGTTGACAATGTTGAGAAGGCTGAGAGAGTACTGAGGTTTGGTAGCCTCTTGCTTGAGGGCAGTCTCAGCTGTTGGTGATGATTGTTTATTAGTTTCCAAACCCGCGGGGCAACGAAGTAGTGGGACAGGGCAACGGATCAAGTACCTTTACGATGCTCTGTGGGATCAAGAGTTGCGTCAAGAAGTTGAGCGATCTGGCCAATATCGGCAGCCATGGTGAGGATGTATTAATAGGGGGACTCCTAAGAGGGAAGCGTAAAGGACGAAGAGAAGAAAGAAATGAGCGGTGGTGATGGGGAAGGACAAGTTTGGAGGTAGGTAGGACTGGTAACAAGAGCTGAGAGGTTACAAGTTCAGGTTGACAAGCAAATCAAAGCTCGGGCGGCTCTAATTTTTTCTGGGTCTCCATTGGCGAGATGCTATTGGCAGTAAATGGCTTCGAAGCCTTCAGCGGCGAGCTAGCCCAGGCAGTCGAGCTACAGTTAATGGGCTTTGAAGCTAGTCACGCTAAGAGCTCCAGGTCAATACTCAAGTTACAAGGGCCAAAGGGCTTCTGTTTTTGTCTTAGACGACAAAAAGACTAATGTAAGCCTAGTATAGATCAGGGAAATCTCAGTCTCATTATTTTTGTCGCCTGGCTTTGCAGTCAAGGAGTTTCTTTCCAAGGACTAGGTAGGCTATCGTTCGCATTACTCTACACCAGTGTGGCCTGGTAATAGAACTAGAAGCTAGGTAAGACTGACCTTTCGTTGCATCCGTGAATAACAACTCTGACTCTGTCCCAAAACGATAGAAAGACAGTATATCTCATTGACTATTCGCTCGACTCAATGACGAAATCAAGCCATCGAGATCAGCGTCATGATCTGTCACCCAACTCGGCGACGGAACCCACACCAATACAATCGTAGCAAAGAATACTGCAGGTACGCTGTAGCTAATAAACAAAATATTATTCTCTACAGACTCAGGGTCCATTCACAGTTCCAGATTGGCGCGATGGGCATGCGGTACCTTACCGCCTACAGCTTGGTGCCATGGCGTCCATAGGAAACCCTGAGCTGTTCGTGTGCTCCAGGAAACAATGGAACCCATTCAATTGTCACCAGGGGGGTCATCTGCTAAGCTTAGTAAGGAAATGTTGCGTTTCCATTAGCTACCCGGTACCTTGGGTGGGCAAACGATCAGTATTATACCTTACGGGAAGTACCCTACTGTATTGATCTACCTTGTCATTGCATCTTCCCAGAGTTAGGTGGGTGGTATTCACCAAGCACAAACTTTACCAACTTATTAATGGTAATCTGCCAACATCGTCTCCCATTCTTCAATATTCTCTCATCCCTTCAGCCTCATAAAATCAAATCGCTTCATACATCCATCATAGCAACTTGGTCAGTGATCAAGCACCTCGCGCACTAGCCAGTGTGTCCTTCTGCGAGTCCTGGCCTCTTTTTCTCACCTTTGCATCCCGCCGATCTGCCCGCCGTGTGGTGCCATCCCGGATCCACGTCCACCTCCGCGTTATTGGATCACATTTGTCGTTATCATCATTCCTTCTGATCCCTGACTGAATCTGCACGATACACATTCTCGCAGTCGAAGCCCGATCATCTATAACCTTCATTGACCATTTAATGAACACGCCTTATCCCGTGTATACACACAACTTCTTACAGGCCCATTTCAGGCCTAGGTAGCACATGTTTCGCCGGTGAGACTCGCTTGCGCCGTCTGTCCATTTTGAATTTGCTCTGCACACTGCATCCGAGACGCCGTTCCGTTTGTCGTACTTGCGACACAAGACAATTCAGCTCATTTATCTTGTCTAAACGCCTCGTCGAGCTCTTGAACTTGCCCGATATCTTGCGTGCCCATCACCTTATCGTTGCGACTCTTTTGACGCCCCATATTGCTATTTTGTGTCGATTGATTCGTTCTGCCTTGCCGATGACAAAGTTTCCAATGCACAAGTTTCCGTATCTTTGCTAACATGTTGCGCCGATTAGCCTCACTTAGTCACCAAGACTCCAACGAGACTTCACACGAGCACATGTCACCGCAGCCAGGAGATGGTCCATCATCCCCAGATACGTCCCGTCAGGGTGGCCTTGCCCATGTCCTTCGGGGTCTGACAAGTTCTAAGCTCTCCAAATCTTCGCCGTCTATAGCATCACCCTCTTCAGCAAACGCCCAGCCGACCGCCGAGTTCGTCCATGCTCCAGCACCAGCCGTCTCCACAAACCCACCTCATGGGCTGTCCTCTGGTCACATGGAGTCCTTTGAGCTTCTCAAGAATGGCTCACCCAACGACCGCATTGCTGCCGCCAACTCGTTGAAATACGCAATTGCCGAGTACCCTCTCAATCCTGTCTTGGATATTTGGTATGCTGCGAAAGACCTTATCGATCCCGCAAAACCTGCAGCAGCACGGGCAGCTGGCTGGGAGCTCCTTACGGAATGTGTGAAGCATGAGGCCTCTTCTGACCTCGAACGGCAAGAATATTTCACAACCCTATCAGCTCCTGCAAACTCGGAAGATTTTCACCTACAGTTGGCTGCTCTTGTTGACCTAACCCGACGCGGCCGAATTTTGACAGGCTTCGATTATGAGCTTCTTCCTCTTTTGACTGATTGGCTATGGGAATCCTATAACGTGGTGCGTGCAGCTAGAAGGAAAGCGTCTCGGAGTTCAAAGGGCGCTGCTCGAAATCGTGCTGTCGCTTCTGGCGAAGAAAAAAACCTCGCTCAGCTATTCAACTTTCTCATCGACGTCATAAAGTTCAGCTTCAACAATGCAGATGAATCTGCTGTGACAGGACTGATCGATCGACTACTGTCAATTTGCATGAGCACAAGCGTGGAAGAGGATCTCAGATCGAGCATAGCGGTCATTGATGCAATTGTAACATTTGGATCTATACCAGAAGATAAGCTCAAAGGCTGTGTTCAAGTGCTTAGCTCTATCTATTGTATGGTGGGAAGCCTTCAAAAAGACTCCTGGAACACGCTCTCAAATCTGCTCAAAAGCCATAATGGACAGGCGACCATCCGCATCTTATTGGATATTCTACGAAATAATCCTACAGATGGGGCCAAGGAGAAGGATGTTAACCGAGAGATACGCGGCGCCCTTGCTGTACTGCAAAAGGTCCTGTCCAAAAGCCCGGAGAACGGCTATCCGGGGATACCTTTCGCATTGCTGGCGGACGGTCTTGCCATAGTTGCGAAAACCGGGACTTCCATCAAAACTTCGACAGCTATTCTTCAGTTGCTTAATGCTCTATTTGACGATGGCAATGGTCGTATACATCGCTTAATCCTCGACGAGGACTGGTCCGTAATACTCGAGGCTGCCGCGACATGCTCCAAACGAGCAATACCTGGGCCGCGCGACTCTGATGGATACCGCAGCCCTGTCAGAGACGAGAAGCTGGAGGAAGCTCTGAGCCGAGAACTTATAATCCTCATCAAGCAGCTTGATGTGCTCATTAACCAAAAATCGGATGTGTTTATTCCTCGGGCAACCATTATTTCGTTTCTAACCGAAGTCCATCAATTTCTCCCTGATGAAACTGCATCGTCTGTCTTGAATTACTTCCAGCAGTTCAGATGCTGTTCACCTTCAGATCTCCAATGGGAAGAAAATCTAACCTTGGTTCTAAAAGGATTCTTTGGCAACAGAGATCGGTCCTCACAGATTAGACTTCGAGCCTTGGAAACCATTATGGACGCCTACGAAGTCGTGGATCTAGTGGGCGATGATCCCGAAGAGAGCTTCATCCCACAACTGGCTAAGAGCATCCTTCAAGATGTTTCTGAAGAGACGGATGTGCTGGTTCTTGAAGGAATCATGTCGCTCATGGTTTCAGTTGTAGTATCGTGTGACATGGAGTTATTCGACTATATCGTCGATGCCCTCCGAGGCATCGTTATTGGCGACAAGCTCAAATCACCGATTTCATCGTCAGCATCTCATAGTCCGTTCGCTCAAGGATCTTCCGAAGAACATCTGCCACAAGGACAGTCGCCATCAAACGTGGTTGCCAAGGGCTACGTAAAGATATTTGTGCACACTATGGATTATGACAGTGCGAAATCCTTGAGACTATATCATGCGCTGATAAACATTGTGAAGTCGAGTCATTGCGAGGTCGATGCTCGGTTGACCGCTATGAAGCTCTTGTTCAGGCTGCGTGCCGATTGGGCCAACCGAATTTTCATCGCAAAGACACTTGAGACTAATTTTGTTGCCGCCTCCTTGTGTCGAACTCCTGAAACATACGCCAAGAAGCAGGCTGAGGAGGCCGTACAGTCTATACGCTTATTAAGAAATGAACATGGTGGGTCGTCCAGGTCTGCTCGCGGCATTTCGTTCAGCCAGGGGCAAAGCCATGAAAGAGGCATGCCAGTTCGCTCTGCAAGTGTCGCTGCTGGAAGTGGCCTGCTTGGCAGTAGTGGTAGTGCAGCTCGCTATCACCAGCTTTGGAACCTTCCGGACCCAGAGGCTCTACCTGACACTGTGACCGGCGTGTTTAGTCCAGTTCTAGTTTCTCACAGCCCTGGCTCCGCTGAACTCGTGATGGATGAAGAAGTCCAAGAGACCAAAACGAATATTGAGACTACTGCCCTCGATATTGCCGCTTGGCTCGAGGCTGTCCTCGGTTTGTTGCACGGTTGCGACTGGGAGGTGTACAGTTTTGCACTGGTTCACCTTCCATCACAACTCAGCAACCATGCCATTTTTAGAGACGCAATTCCCCAGATTCAGGAGCTGCGAAGACTCATTTGCGAGCAAATCCGAACCAACTCCTTCCAAGAACCTCCAAATGCCTCGGGGTTGAGGCGAGCTGATGTGGCGATTTGTCTCTTCCACAGTTTAACGATGATTCTCAGTTACCATGATCACTTTCAAAAGGGCGATGAGGATGAAATAGTCAAAACATTTGTACATGGCATCGCCACTTGGGAGCGGAGTGCAAAATGCTGCATCCATGCCTTGTCCATATGCTGTCATGAATTGCCACTCTCAACAAGCAAGTCACTGGTTCAGCTATTGACCAAAATGTCTACTATCATCACCCAGCCGCATGTCTCCATCCATATCCTCGAGTTCCTGGCTTGTCTGAGCCGTTTACACAACGTGTATGTCAACTTCAGAGAAGAGGAATACAAGATTGTGTTTGGGATTTGCATTCGCTATCTGCAATCTGTGAGGGACAAAAAGGCTTCCAACAGGAACAGTCATGCCAGCGAACCATCTACCCCAGCAACCGCAACGGGTAACCTTTCGGATGCCATACACCCGAGCGCAACAGACGATTTACCACAGTACGTGTATGCATTAGCATACCATGTGATACTTTTCTGGTTCCTTGCGTTGAAACTGCCAGACCGTGCCACCTTGGTTGGTTGGCTTGTCAGAAACATATACAACGAGATTGAAGATGCGCACACAGATAACGAACAAGCACTTACTTCGATCGACTTCATGCAAAGGTATACATACGCTGACGTGGAGGAATCATCCCAAGATCCTCTCTTTACATCGGATCGATTCGGAGAGATCATCAAGAAGAGATGGTTGGTTGGTTACAGCATCGTCACCGTAAATCAGGCCACAACCACTGGCTGGGCTCAAATTGTCAAGAGACAGCCTTCAGGCACCTCGGCCTTCACGATTCGAGAAACGTTTGATCCACCACCTCCGCATCAGACACCCAATTACGTGGACATTAGCAGGGAGGGACAAGTCTCAACGAATACTATCTTACCCAGTCACATCATGGTACAACTGATGTCGTCCATCCCTCAAGGTCATGATCTAGCGCGACCTATTCCGCTCCCCGAGGATGATGCTGTTGAAAGGGCCATTCGAGTCTTTGATCGAAGCTCTACTGTTGATGGGCACAAAGTTGGTGTCATCTACATCGGAGAGGGACAGACTGATGAAGTGGAGATTCTTGGGAATGTGTCTGGTAGCAGCGATTACATGGAGTTCCTCAATAATCTTGGCACATTGACCAAGCTCAAGGGGGCGACGTTCAACACTCATGGACTAGATCGCGAATTTGACTCTGATGGCCAGTATACCTTTTGCTGGCGAGATCGTGTCACAGAAATCGTGTTTCACGTCACCACACAGATGCCTACGAACCTGGAACATGACCCACGTTGCACAATGAAGAAACGCCATATTGGCAATGATTTTGTCAACATTGTGTTCAACGATTCCGGTCTGCCTTTCAAATTTGATACTTTTCCGGGCGACTTCAATTTTGTCCATATTGTCATTACACCAGCATCAAGGGCTTCGTTTATTGCTGCTAGAGACGCTTCCAAACATAGTCAGCCCTTTTATCGCGTTCAGGTCTTGAGCAAGCCTGGATTCCCAGAGATCTCGCCCGCTTCAGAGATGAAGATTGTGTCACTTAAGGCTCTCCCAGGTCTGATCCGTTTGTTGGCTCTTAATGCTTCGGTGTTCTCTCACGTCTGGGCCAACCGTGAGGGCGGTGAGCATGTCAGCTCGTGGAGAAGTCGCCTCCGTGCTATCAAAAGGCTTCGGGAGAAATACACACCTTCAAAATCCGGGCAAATAACACCATCGGCCTCACAGAATTCATCTCTTGGAGGCGCGCCTACGTTACACCAACAGCAGCAGCTCCTGCCACAGGGAGATATGTCGTCGTCGCGACCAGCCAGCACCGTCCGCGATAGCTTCACGAGTCTACGTCGCACAAGTGTAGCCACCTTTTTCACAAGCACAAGTGAGCAGACCTCACATCGATCCTCAATGTTGTCATCATCTACAACAACAAACGACACTGAGATTGGTCCGTTTCACGGGCAGGATTCCCAGACTGACACCGTCGACTTTTCCAAATGGGCCTAGAAATGTGCTATTAAATGGGGTGCAGGAAACGTGAAGCAAGGAGTCCTTCTAGTAAAGTCATTCTGTTTTTCAAAAAAGGGTGGAGGCGTCTGTCTATATATAAGGTGTCATGGGGGGGGAGGGGTTCAAAAGTTTTTGCTCTAGGTCACACTTGATGTTTGTCTGTTCTATCCTATTTCCAATCTGTTTTCTGTCTATTTCTGCTTACAGCCCACCTCGATATACCCTGGAGCTGTGTCTCGCTCGAAGTAGAACATTATTAGACTGCTAGAAGACATTTAATGGTCTTGCCAGTATTACTTGATAGTCCTCGCCTTAAGAAGGTGGTTGGTTGATGGAGCAAATCGCTTTTCTGAAAGCCTGCAGGCTTATGCATACACGTACAGAGCTCATCCGACCTGATCAGCCGACAGAAAATATTCCGTCGTACAACGCTGCGTAGTTGAGAGGCTGCTGTGTAACCAACGCTCAGACTGCTTAAACCCGCCTATCAAAACCCCATATCATTTGGTAGACTTCGGTGTCTCGTTGTCACAATCCGCCTACTTGCATGACTGCCCGGGGTGTTTGTAAGCCCAAATGGGCTGGCTCATGTTGATCCACTAGCAGCAAGTTAGGTCACCGTTACACAAGTGCGGCGCGTGTAGTAGTTGCGGCCAAAACCTCATCCAAAAGCAGTAGGTAATTCATAAGCTTTGGCTATTGTTTGACACAAGAAGCTAGGTGGTAGGGCGGTATACGAGATGTGACACAGGATCAGAGGTTGGGCTCATTTGTAAGCAAATGAGAGCTCAAGGATAGTGAATGAGTGAAAGAGCCAATAGGGTTTATAAGATGCATGCATTAAGGGGTTGTTCTGCGTTGGCAACGTAGGGACAGTAGGAGCACTGCAGGCAGATCACACCTGGTGGTTCGCTATGGCAGGGCTCCGAAGTTGGATGGCAAAATCCATCGTAGTTTGTCGCACGTCAGCCGCTGATAGAAACGCACAATCCAGAATCGGTACATTCTGCTAGATACCCGGTAATGTCCTAGGCGTGAAAATAGGTTGTGGATTAAAACGAGACTTGTTGGCAAACAGTTGCTCTTGCATAGTGGACTTGCGCCATGGTATACCTTAGGTAGTCAAACAGTATGCTGCTGTTCATGGTAACCTGTTGGATCGTATCGTATCGTGATGTCTTTGGATGATGTAGAAAGGCAGTATATAAGTTGTAACTCTACGCCAAGTGTCGCAAAAGCCAGATAAAAAAGATTGGTACCCAAGATAGAGTTGCGAGAGGCGCGTCCTCGGGAGCTCTATTTTGGATTTCCGTTCATAACAAATTCGTTGAAGCACACGTCTTCCTTTTGCCGGCTGTTTTTGGCAGAATTGTTGACCATGTTCATGTTGTGTGGCCCCTGGTTTTATAGAGATTCATTCCTACCTTAGACTTTGCGCCAAAGCTCTTTGTATTCTGCCCATTTGCAAAAGCCTGCCAAGTCTCATTGTCAGCTTGTAGTAGCTGCGAAAGTCCTGGGAATCCTACTGACCTAAAGACTGCAGCACATTTTCGTCAGATCTGCTGCCATCAATAAACATCCCAACCATTCCTCTTTCACTCAGAGTCTGCCGACAAGCCAGGAGCAATCTCGTGGCCACAGAGTCACGGCGATTGACCATATCTGGGTCTTCATCTAATCTAAGAGTCAGTCAATGTCAGATAACACGGCTTGGATCATGGCCGACCTTTGATGCAGATGCATGAAACTCCTCCGATGCTCTGTCCGATTGAGGCGGGCCATGGAATATCTGCGCCGCAAGGGCTGCCATTATTTGGAAAATATGTTATTGCCGCAGCAACCAGATTTTCCCCTTCAAGCCCGACTACAATGTCATTCATATAGCAACTATCCATAGTTTTGGCGTATTGGTCGTACCACCCAAACCCGTATCTCTTCTGTGACTCCTTATTTGCCATCTCGACAACCTTCTGGTAATCTGTTAGCTGGCATGGCCTGAACGTCAAGCCAGCGGAGGCCAGATCAGGAACTGGATGGTCGGCAAATCTCAAGAGCCAGTCGAGCACACGCCGCCCGTTTCCAGGTGTGGACTCCTTCATGTTCCACCCTCGTTTTTCGAACCACTCCGTATCGGTTTCTGGTGCGGGAAGACCGTAAAGCAATCTTGGAAATGTGCTTCCAAGTTGAATGATTCCGACACCTCGAATCTTGTTAAGTTTGCTCACAACTTCGTCGTGGAGGAAGCGCCCAACACCTTGACCCCGAAAGTCTTTGTGAACGATGATAGCAGCTACTGATCCAATCAGTCGGTCGCCACTGCTATCCGTAAACGTTGTGAATGTTGCACAAAATCCAATGGCCTGCCCTTGATTGGGTTCTCTGACCATGTAATGCATGGCATATCCATCGCGTTTCAAGAGAGAACCAAGAGTTGAGCGATCTAGATGGAATTTGGAAGGTAAACATGCTTCCCATAAAGCGTGAGTTTCTGGGAGATCTCTGTCGTAGTCCCATTTCAGGAGCGACCAAGTGGGAGGAGGAGGAGAGTTCCCGGCCGTTGGCGTGGCCTCTGTTGTCGGTCGTTCACTTGTCAAAAGAACGGCGACGGCTTGTAAGTCTGCCGCAAAGTACCCCGGACACTGAATGATGGTTGGGAAACCATACTCGCAGGCCCCCTTTTCCGAAACTTCACAACAGGCTACAAGCACTAAGGGGCGTTCTTCACACACCTCACGAGCAACCTCGGCGAGTTCAAGCTGAAATAAACCCTCCTCTGTCGAGAAGCCAGTAAGCACGAAGATAACGACTCGTGCTCTCTTGATGAATGCCACATGAATGCCGGTAATGCCACGCTCCTTTGTATAGGGAACATGCCGGATCCATGGATGTGTGCGCGCAAGTGCTTTACCGAGAGGCTCGAAAGGGTCACTTGCATTGGCAAGACTCTGGTCTATAGGGACGACAGCAGGTGTTAATAACAAGACCAAATCCTCATCACCTAGGTTCTTTTGGAGAGGAATCAAGTCTTGGTGATCCCATAGCAAAGTAGCCGGTGAACTCTGGCTTTGTATAGTTGACATGATTTTCAACTGCGTGTAGTATCGAAACTGACGATACAGTTACATGGCTGATTTGGAACAGTCGATGAAGCTACTCGTCTCGGTTAAGTGCGTAGTCTCCACAAGAACCCAACCCCCTTGGGCATAAATCAAGCTTCCAAATAGTGAGTATGAAACAATATTGGATGACGGTTTGACAGGCGTGGAGAAGAAAGATGCGTCGAATTGTTGAATTTGTCGTGAGCGGCTCCGCAGATAGGGAGGCCGGCGAGGTTGGACTAACTTAGTAACTAGAATGGCTCAATGATGGAAATTCAGAATCGAGGCCATCTGGCTGGATAATAAGCTCACGATGGAGGAGAAGAGGATAGATATGCTTTGATAATTCGAACCTGGAAGGGTAGGATGATAAGCAATAGCAAAGCAACAGCAACAGCAATAGCAATGAGTGAGTGAGTGATCTATAAATGCGGGTTTTGTGACGACGATGGTCTTAGGGCGCCAGGTTTGCTGGGGTCCTGCGACAGTCCACCATCCAGACTGCTGGGACTGGGAGGAGGGTTTAAATGAGTGTGGGGTTAGATGGGACGAAGGCTGCGACACCAATTGGTACAGACAGTCAAGTACTGTACTATGTACAAGCAATCAGCCGCCTCGAAGCGCCAGGGCTACACAAAGTTGTCGAATTGCCAGGATGTGAAGGGCATCGGTCAGGATTACCTGATCAAAAACATGAGCCTCGGCCAAGGCCGGTAGGAGGTCAAGGCGGAGAGAACATCCAATCCGCGTCGATGAGCTCCAGAAAGTCGACGAAATGGGATTGCCGATGGCGAGGATCCGTCAAGACGGCGGAAGACGCCCATGAGAGGCTGTCTGTCTGATGGTAACACAAAGACGCACGTCGGCAGAACCGGGTGAGCTACTTGCAGCAAAGTGGCATGGATAGATGATAACGCCCCGGCACGAAGTCCAAAAACATGTTTGCCTGCCATGACTCACGGCAACCGGTTTTGAGAAGAGGAAGGAGAATAAGATAAAAGGAGACCTGGGTGCAGTGCAGCAAAGACGTAAAAAGGCGTGTAAGAGGTGTGTGTACATAGAGATTGCTCTGTCAGTCCTTGGTATACGGCTTGACACAACCATTCCAGCCTGGCTGACCCTTGTCTTTGTTGACTCTGGAAAAGAGGCAGCAAACTATAGGGTGAAGCCCCTCTATTCTCATTCGGGCTTATTAGGGACATTCCTGAGCGATGTGGTTTGCTAGGATAGGTAGTCGACATGTCGGGTCCGTTGACTAGATCGGGGAATAACGAGACCACGATGATATGCGGGCGGTTGCACAAGACTGTCGCACTAGATAATGTGGGAGTTATCGTATAGGCCGGGGCTGTAGCCTGACCGCCATGGCCGCCATGGAAATGTTGTTTTCTGGTGTCAGCAATCGTTTGGCTGGCCTATTGACAGCCAGCCAGGTTAGAGATGTAGGCTATTGGAGCATGCCGTAGTGGTTGTCGAGGCAAGGATGAGGAGAGACTGGTAGGAGATCGAAAGGAGTTGCATGACAACAAGTCAATAAATGAGTAAATAGATAAGACCAAATGAACCCTGATCTTTTGTGCCAAGCATCTAGCAATAACCTCAAATGATGAGTTGAGGTCGTAACTTCAATGTCAACAGAGTACTAAGGAATTAGAAATATAAGGTAGGTAGGTACCTAGATAGTGGCTAGAGTGGTTAAGGGCAATCAATGTCAATGAAAGTTACAGCAGGGACGGGCCGTTTCTACCTTGTAAGGGTGTAGGCAAGCTTCAAAAATCAGGTAAATCTGCCACACGCAGTGTAAACTCAATTTACCACACCTTGATAGATCCAATGACGGTTGTCTGCCACCTCAACCTACGGCCCAAGGTTGGTGTAACCGTGTTACTGATGCCGCGGCAAATGGGGGCCAGGCAAGTTTCTACATACCTACATGTACTCCGTACCTTGGGATAGAAACGTGGATATGTCATAGCACTGCGCGCCTGAATGATTAAAATGCATAGCGAGATATGCTCAGTAAATATGAAATGAGAGAACAGGAAAATAAAACATCGAGCTATTATACTGAAGTATATGTGGATCTGCCATAATAAATTTCGGGGTACACGTCTATATCAACATCGTACCTGGGTGCTAGCGCAGAATGAATACCAGTAGAACCTACGGATATCAAGGCGTTGCATCAAGGCCTGACGTCGAGAAACGTCATGTTAAACACAATATACACCCCGTCTTAGGAAGACAAGGTCCTGAAAAACGTTGAACACATTGTTCAGAATTGAGGTTGAAATAAGCTTCGTTCATATGTCTCCATTTGCCTAACGTTCAACGACTTTGAGGAAGTACCTGGGTTTTAAATAGATTCTAAGTCAACATGTCAGCAACCTCAATATTTAACAACTAGCCAATATCTCTTCATATCTACTCAATCCTCCGCGTTGTATTGTATATCTACCTAGGTACTCCTCGAGACCAAGAAAATATCAGACCTCCACATAGGGTATCAAAACAGCCTTACCAAAAGTATCCTAAACTTAGCAAAGATATCCTAAATTTAGCCAAGATAGCCTAAGCTTATCCTAAACTTATACTAAGTTACCCACGTCTTTTCATCCTTTAGGATAGGTCCTAAGTTTTCTTTCCTCCATTAGGTACTCCGTACTATACATGGACCGCGGACCTCCACTACAACTTGATGCCCCGCTCCGAACGAAACCCACTCCAACCCCGAAAACCGTAAACGCGTCTTGGCCGACGCGTCTTCCGTTTTCCGGGGGCGTCCCACTCATTCACTCTCAACCCAAGGCTGCCGCTCGGCCCCGGAGGACCGCATGTATGTCTCTTTGCCTGACATCTACTGAGTACCGTAAACTCAGAAAGTTCGCCAGCATATGGAGACGGATATAGATCCTGCCTCGGCGGGTCACCAGGAGATTCGTCTTCTCGTGGATGAGGTTATTGAATGTGAGGCTGCCCGAGCAATGTACAAAGGCTTTGACTTATATTCCGTGTAGCATCCAAAATACCCGCCAAAACACGCGCGACCAATGTCAAGCCTACTATTGCTAGCCTTACCTCACTCTCATATGAATGGGGCCTTTTACCTGAGACCCTTGACGATCTCATCATTCTCGTCACAACTCCAAATCACCTTGACCAAGCAAGCCAAGCTGCTATCATCCGAAACCTGTATCCCGTGGCACCTATCTCTCGAAAGTCTGTTCTTCAAGTCATCTCGTGCCTTGGACACGGAGCCCTCAAGCCATCTCTTACTCTACAGGCTGCTCTTCTCAAGTGGCTCATTACAGTGCACCACACTTTGGAGTCACCACAAACGCTTTCTCAAACCTACGCGGTTCTGTTTAATCTTCTCGATACCGCAGCCATTCGGTAAGTTTCCCTTTCTTTGTCGTGAGTAGTTCACTAACTCTCACCAGACCTAACCTTAGCCACCTCCTGGCTCTCATTACCAGACGCAAACATGTTCAGCCTTTTAGAATACAGGCCTTGTAAGTATTGTAGATGAAGACCCCTGGTCAGTCGTTTACAAATCGCAGGCTCAGCCTTTCCCGGCAAACTGGACATGATCCGTCCTTGATCGGCCTTCTAAGAGTTTTCAAAGACTATTACCCCGAGGTTATTGTAGGAGACGCGGTTCGGGGCAAAGCATCCTCCTTCAAGGCTCGTTTTCACATGTCTTTTCACTACTGCTCTTACTGATTATCTAGTAGCACCCCGATCCACAATGGCGAGCAAGGCTGGACGAAATCCAGGATGCACATTTTCATCAAACAGAAAAAGGCACATTACGGCCTCGAGATGGCTTCCGTGTCCACCGTCCTATAGGGCGGAGTACTAAAAACAGAATGATCCCTGTAGTCCACACGTCTTATGTGTCAGAGGTTCGTCTGCAACAACGTGCAGTGCTGAGTGAGCAGAACTAACGCTGCTAGAATGCGGTTACATTAGAGGAAATCGAGAATGTTGCTGGGTTTGTCAAGAATCTTGACAAGCTCGAACTCCCCAATCAACTAGTGGCTGTTCTGGCAGATCCTTTGTTGCAAAAGCTTATGCTTCTGAGGCCAGACAGCGAATCTGAACAGAGACGGGCCAACTGGCTCAATGGGGTTCTGCAAGATGTTCGTGACGGCGATGCAGATGAAGACACCTTATTCGACATGCTGGACATCCTGCGGGAATATGTTGTATCTATCAAGGTATGTTTCTTGTTGGCTTGGCCAAGGATAAATCTGACCAGGCCCAGAATCTTCCTCCTCTCCTACTCGACTTCTTTGTACGCTTTCTTCCACTTTGGGATGGCTCTGGACGTCGCGATGCCATGTTTGAGATCTTATCTTACTCCCCATTACTGGACTTTAAAGGTCAGTATAAGCCGCTCCAGCCTACCTCGCTACGCTAACACTCTCCAGAGCTGTACAAACACATCTTCCAACCCCTTGAAGCTGCAACCCTTGATAATACCCCGGAGTCTCTGCTAGCGCTTCTCGCCCTGTATAAGAACCTTCTTCACCACTGGACAGTCCTGCTTGAATCTAGTGACACGGTACCAGACCATGCCAGTGTTACTATCACGGCCTTGGTGCGACACGTTAATCCACTGGCCCTCACACTCTGCCAAACATGTCCTTCTGTCTCATCACGTTCTGCAATTCTTGACTTCTATGAGCAAAACGCCAGACTCGTTAGCCACCAGGTCCTCAAGCACTACATTTGCATCGAACTACCCCCTTCATCCCTCATCTACATACTCTTCTTCAGCAGTTCTGCGGCCATTGTCTCACGTATGTGTGCTATTCTTGCCTCTTATAAGAAAGGCTTCGAGATGGCCATGCTCACCAGGCCGGATCGTGAGAAAAGCAACCGCATTGACTCCTCATCATATAACAGGACTTTTGTCGGCCTTTTCAATGGCTACCTTATGGACATGTGCAATTGCTTTTGGCGTGGCAGGGCTTTTACTAACAGTGACCCCAACGCACTTGGATGTATGATTCCGAGGAGCCTCGTGCCTGTTCTGTCGTCGTATGTGACTTCTTTGGACGAAGCTCAAACTCTAGCATCTCTCTTCTCATTGTCACACTCCCCACTCCTGAGCCTACAAAGCAGACTATGTATTAGAAGTCTAGAGGATGCCGAAGTCGAACGCGATTCTTTGCGCATCAGGCATGAAGGACCGCCGACGCAGAGTAGCCTTGGGCAATTGGCAAGTTCCGGGGGTTTACGCATCTCGTGGCAGGATTATAGGGTCAAGGTGCTCGAGGCGCTGACTGCTAGAGAACTCGGCGGCATTACAGATCTTTTGAAGAACACGATGACCGTTCTGAGAAAAGCAATAGACGGCGAGGGCAGCTCCAGGCCAACCACATCGCAGTCATTTCAATGAATCATGATAAGAAATTTACTATCTTGTGCTTTGTGCCATATGTTAAATTATGATCAGCCTGGCCTAGTTTGGCCAAAAAAAAAAAGTCCGCGCTCTTGGTTGAAATTCACCGTGCCGTATAGTTCCGTCGTCATGCATCAAGTGTTGAAAAGAACAAGCGCACAGAATACAGGGTTGAGAACTGTTTCCCTTTTGAGTTGAACGCCATGCATGAGTGACCAATGCCACCGAATTCTCCCCCTATTGCGACCCTACGCCGAGCAGTGCAGTTGAGTGCTATCCGTCTTTCCGAACTCCAACCCGAAAACAAATGAAACTCGGGGCGATTGTTAAGAATGCTCCGAAGTAAGAACCTCCATATGGAACAGTCTAGGCTTCACGCTGCTTCGACTCGTCGCCATAACCACCGATCTGGATGCCTCCAAACCCGTAGGTCTTGCCTTCAGGGCCACGTTTCATGTTGCTCCGTGGCCCTCGCTCCTTCAAGTCCTCTCGAAGCCAGCTCAGGACGAGCTCTCCGAGACGGCTATTGCCAGAGGCACCCACAGTACCATCGATGGTGGCGAGCATCTTGTCAGCCTCGTCCCACTCCTTGACAGTACCAAGGTGCATATGGGCAAGATGAGTCGGCCAACCGGCAAGGTTATCCAGAATATGAGTGGCGTAGACGATGGTGCATTCTCGAATCTCCGTCTCACGCTTGAGCCAGGCTAGAAACTCGGCACGGCTCAGAACGTCGAGGTCGACAGTGATCTCATCGAGGAGTAGAACCGTCCACGGCCTCAGTAGACCCATGGCAAGCTGGACTCGGCGGCGCTCACCATCTGAAACAGCATGCATACGCCAATTAGTGTCGACGTCAAGCATCGCGACGAGCTCGTCTCGTCGATCAGGGTATGCATCGCCACCAACAGAGCGGAGCAACTCATTGACGCCGATGTCGGTTCGAACAATGGGGTTGAGAACCCATTCCAGACCAAGATAAGTGACACCCTCAAGACCCTCTTTGAAAGGATCTACACCGCAAATAGAGATGGTGTCACTGGGCGCAAGACGTTTGCCGGCAAGAAGACGAAGCAGAGTTGTCTTACCAGCTCCATTAGCACCGATCAGAAGGGTACGAGACCGCGGAGGGAGATCCAAAGTGATGTTGTTGACACCAGTCGAGTAGTCGGGAAAAGTGTATGAGAGGTTGTTGACTTCAACACGGGGAGGCTTAGGTGGAGGTGTCATGATGAGTCCAAGATGTGGTGACGCCTTGAAGGAGAGGACGGGAGGCAGAAGGATAGCCAAATTGAGAGGTTGGGATAATGGGAGGAGGATTGAAAGAATCTCTGGAACATAAATCTGAGAGGATATGATATTTATATAATCAGATAGTACGTGTCATGAGAATTGCTAGTCAGAGATTTCTGTTTCCCCTCCAAATTAGGTACAATACGAAGAAGATTGGTTACCTCAGCCGGTGACAGGCGGGATCCGTTGGACATGAGGATTCCTGCCTGCCGTCTTGAACCCCGCTATCCATCGTTTATGGGCGCACTCCACTACCTATCGTTATCGTTTCCAGTTAGTGAACCCTCCGCCTGAGATCCAGCACGTCATGACACCTGAGATACATCGAGTCCCTTATTAGTGGAACTCTTACCCACTAACGGGCCCTATCAGTCCCCTCATCCGTTGCCTAGCCACTTTACGCCAATTCGCGTCTAATCGTGGACCAAAGCTTCTTCACGCGTTTTCAACCTGTAGCTGGAAGCTTCAGTTTGACTCTTTGTCAAGCCAATTGCACGACGACGATACAAGACAAACCTTGTCACTACCTGAAACGTCCAGGACTTCCTTCAGACGCTTCATTTGCACCGTCGACCTGCAAATACCCCCATTTCTGGGCCACTCAACATGGTGACCCTCAAGGATGTCGAAGGAAGCCTCTTGCGAAAGCCTTCGTAAGCTGTGTTGAGACTCATTCAAGCAAGCATTGGACTAATTCGAATTCCTCAGCGAAACTTCCCACCAATTCCCTACCCGGAGTGCCTCCGTTTACAAGCCCCTACAATCCTTTGTCCTCGACAAGCAACGCTCTTACCAGCAGCAATATGGCGATATGTACTTTTTGCGCCTCACCAAGATAAAACCAGCTGTCGATAAGGTAGCCGCAGAAGCCTGGAAAGGCACAACGATTGGAGAAGAGGAGGCACAGAGAGTCGAACGGGTGCTTGATGTCCGGCAGGGAGAGCTGTGCTGGGTAACTGGCACCGTATACATGGAGATGCCACTGAAGCCGAATATTCTGGAGGACGTGTCTAAGGATGTATGCCATATTAGTCGCCGATCGACTATGAAATGGATGCTAATATGTCTGTAGCGTTGGATCTCCGCCCCTATTCTGACACCGAAATATTTCTCCCAAGACGACCAGGTCATGCTGGAGGATGAGTCGGGCCGCATCAGGCTGGTTGGTGATGTGCTGAAGACCGTAAACTTGGTCACTGGATGTATTATTGGGGTTATGGGCACCGAAAATGCCAACGGCGAATTAGAGGTCATTGACATCAAGTTCCCTGACCTTCCTCCGCAACCTGACCGTTGGAACCTTTCGAAGCCCAATTCAGAAAAGGCCAAGACAAAGGACGAGGATGAGCATATGGCCGATGCCTCTGAAGCCAAGAAGGGCAACAGCAAGATTGCTATTGTTTCTGGCTTATCTTTCTCAGGTACTGATGCTTCTCACGTCCTTGAGCTTGAACTCCTTTCCGAGTACTTGCTTGGTGAAGCTATGACCCCTTTAAGCCAGGTCAATGTCTCTCATATTAGCCGTCTTATCATAGCAGGAAACTCTATCTCGACAACAGACCGCAAACCTCCTGCTGCAGACGAGGCGCTCCCGGAAAAGAAAGCCCAGAAGAAGTACGGCTACGACGCCAGCGCCTACAACCCACTCCCCTCCCAACTCTTCGACGCGTTCATTGCCGAACTTCTCCCTTCCATTCCTATCACGATGCTCCCTGGTGCCCAGGATCCCGCGAACGCTAGTTACCCGCAGCAACCTGTGCATCCAGCAATGTTCCCTTCGGCACGAGCGTATGCCCGTGACCCAACAACTCCAGCCACCCTACCCGGCTGGTTTGACACTGTCACAAATCCGTGGGAAGCGGAGCTCGAAGGATGGAGGTTTCTTGGTACTGGTGGCCAAAATGTTGACGATGTTTTCAAGTACGTTGGCAGTGATGACCGTCTTGGCATGATGGAAGCTATGTGTCGATGGCGTTGCTGTGCCCCGACTGCACCCGATACGCTATGTGAGTAGACGATGACCCGAATTTTCATGTCTCCAAGCTAAAACATCTCGTAGGGAGCTACCCCTTCCAGGACGATGACCCTTTTGTGATGCAGACTTGCCCTCACCTCTATTTCGTCGGCAACCAGCCACACTTCTCTACCAAGGTTATCCACGGACCTGAGGGTCAGTCTGTGAGACTTGTGACCGTACCGAGTTTTGCAGAAACAAAAGAGCTGGTCTTGATCGATACAGAAACACTTGAGGTGGAGAGGGTCAAGATATCTACAACATAAGGGGATCAAAGGACGGACATGGTTAATAGAATAGGTATGGCGAGATACCCCGGACCGTAGTTGATCAAGTAAGCTAAGCTATCTGTGAGCAAGTTGATCTATCATCCATCTGTCCATTTCTTAGCAAAAGTATTCTCCTCGATTCCCCCCTCCCTCGCTGCCTCCACCAATAGAAATCCGTCTTAAGGCTCATAGTCCGACTCCTGGTCTTCCTCTTCTCCCTCTTCTCCCTCACTCTCCTCCAACTCATCATGGTCCTGGATGTGCAAATCGTCTTCATCGTCGTCAGTCGCTCCAGGTGGAGCACCGTCAGCGCTTCTCTGCTTGCCACCGTCGTCTTCGGCGCACTTCTCGCAAACCCGGCGAATGAATTTGCTGAGCTGAGCCATTCTCTGGTGGATCAGGCATAGCTTGTTGTAGCGAAATTTTCTCATCTTAGCATCCGTGTGGAAAAGGTCACTACTCTGACCTTTGACGTCTTTGTTATTGCTTTCACCCTTTCTTTCGTCCTCACGCGCCTGCAACACGAGTTGCCTCTGAAATCGCAGTTGGTGGGTACGAAGAATGAGATCAGTTGAGGAGGGCCAAGCACCATTGTTGAGAAGCTTATTCACGATCTGAACATGTATTCTCTCACAAGGTAGTGCCCTCAATGCGATCATCAGCTCCGAGGTTGGCTCAAAAAAGTCGACAAAGGTAAACTTGCCATGCTCGCGCCTGGGGCTGATGACGATCTTGAGCGTGTGGATGTTGGCATTATAAGGGGCCTTGGCAAACATCTTGATGGCATCGGCCATGAATTCCTTCGTGACTGCATTGGAGCGACTGGGGTCAGCCTTGACCGTGATGAAGCGAAAATACTGAGCGTATTTGACAGTGTCGATAGTCCCAGGCTCGTGGACTGGTAGTGCCAAAGGATTGATGTCTCTGTTGGCGATGTTTTCCTGGTCTCTCATGCCAGGCTCAGGGACATATACGTCGTCATTGACTAGGTCCTGGATATTGGCCATCCCGTGATATTGAGTAGGCGCATCCCGAAGAAGGTAGAGAAAGATATTTTCGCCATACATGACGCCTCTCGCTTCGACAAAGACTTTCTTGCACACCATGAGGATGCTGATGTCCAGGCCAGGATTCTTTCGCTGGTACACGCGCCTCCAGCTATCGTAAACAAGAATAGGGTTGTCCGACAAAAGAAGACCTCGATAGATTTGTTCACGAACCTCGGCGGGAAGGCCCATGAAGCTGAGACGTCTGGGGTTCTTGACCTTGATCCTGATAGGGAGTCTAGGTCGAGGCTCTGGAGCCGGGGAATTGCGGATAGCCCTGCGGCGACCTCGCTGAGCACGGGCTTGATAACGGGCAGCAATGGGAGTGATGTTCTTGGGCAGCAGCAGCAGAGCCCTACCTCGACGCGAACCTGGATCCCGTTGGTAGGCGTTGGGGATAGCGGGAGGGGGTGCCGTCTCATCTTCGTCAAACGACTCTTCTTCAGGAGTTGCCTCGCGCGGTCCCCAGACGAATTGACTTATGGGAATTCCATACTCCTTGGTGAAATCTTTCAAGAGCGGCGCTTCGATGATCACCTTGTTGTTGTTGGACGCCTTGACTGGCTGTGAGTCTCTGTTGGGCTGAGGCTTAAAACGCTTCTTAGGGGGTTCGTTTCTGGCGGCCATTGGGCTTCTCTTGTTTCCGATCGAGACAGCTGAGTCGCTTGAGGAAGATGGGCTACCTGGTGCCGATGAGCTACTCGAAGAAGATGAACTGCTTGGGGAGGATGAGCGGGTCTTAGATCGAATGATCTGGCCAACTTGAGCCCTGGCCATCGTTTTCTGCTTGACATTGCACGTGGGCGCCATGGTGTGCAATGTAGGTGCAGAATCTTGAGAGAGGTGGATAGCTTTGAGTGAAGCTGAGGGGGGAAATGAAACGAGTAGTGTTGAGCAGAGAAGATGTGGTGTTGTGGGGAAGATGTGAAGAGATGAATGTGGAAGAAAGGAAGAGGACTCTTTTATATTGAGATAAGGGGGCTAGTGATTCACTGCTGAGTTCCAACGAACACCAGATGAAGAGGCATTGGCTTTGATAAGTTAAGCAACCCCTATCATAATTCCAGTCATTTTTCGGCACTCTGTTTTTCGGTTGTTCCAATTTAGCTGATCGGCCCCCTTCTATGTTGAAGATGTACGAAGAGCACAGACAGGGCTTGACGTTGCTATATCGCTAGGCTGAGGCATGAAGTCGACTTCAGAACCAGGCTTTGGCGAACGTTCAGTGGCGGCAACGGGATTAAAGCAACTGACACCAAGAAGAGATTGGGCGCAATATAGTCGCGGCTGGGTGTCAGTCTTACCACTACCAAACGTTGAGAGCATAACAGGCGAATCTTGACAGAAGGCTAGATACAAGATAAGCACGATACCTTAGGTTAGAATAGACGAATAACATATTGTGAGTTTGGCATCTCAAAGACATGACACCGCACCAACTGGTGATTACAGACATAATCAAGTGATTTACCATGCCAGGGAGAACTGACAGAATCATCAAATGAGTTACAGAAGTCCAAGAGACGACACCGAGGCCACTATGGAGTGTATCAAGGCTGTAGACGACACAATCACCGACAGAGAGCTTTAGCAAGTGTTGTGAGACCAGAGCGTTGGTCTCTAGCTCATGCCCATGAAGCAGGGCCTCATGAACGCTTGAAGAGCCTGGTTCGATGATCCCTACCACTGGATGTCTTCCAACGATTGCTTCAGTGCGAAGTTCTCACTGCACTATCATAACAAACGCAGGTTTCAAAGTCGTAACGCTTCTATTTCCATATTGCGTTGGGTGAAATACGTCTGAATCAATCTTTCTAAAAGGAACCAACGATTCGAAGTTAATGGGGTCAACGGCTTTTGAACTCTTTGCATTTCTCTATAGACTATGTATTTAGTGTGAGGCGACAGCATCTCCTTTGGAATGACCGTCGCTCATCGTATGAACAAATGTGTTAATCCAGTTCGATGGTTTTAAGCTGAATTCATCCTTGTAGATATTCTAGGGTCATATTACATACCTAGGTAGGTTGAAGGGGAAGTAAACTCCCAAGGGAAGGAAAGAAAACTCAGGACCTTGATCCTAAGCGGTAAAAAGGCTTAGGTAACTTAGTATAAGTTTAGGGCCAGCTTAGGATGAGTTTAGAAGACCTTTTGCTGAGTTTATTTTGATGCCTTATATTAAGATGTGATGTTTTCTTGCTCCCTGAGGACTCACTCCTTCATCTGACTCAGACAGTCCAAGGCTAGAACCATTTCGAAGGCTTGAGATGCACTTATCACTGTGTTTGCGCCTTTCGTTTGGCAAGTGGATACAATCTAGGAAATATTTGGGGGTTCAAGCCAAACTCCGCAGTGCGCTAAAAACAGAAATTCAGTAAGACCCTCGACAGCGTCTACGGAGTCTGTCTATGTGGTTCTGACTTGACACCTATGCATCTATAAAAATAAATACGGCCTTTCTCTATTAACTCTCTATCTCTTCACATTCAAGAAACTCCGACCATAGCACGCTGTTCCCCCGAGCCACCTTTACTTCAATCCAACCTTGATTGATCATTGGAGTCAAAGTGGCAACAGGATAGCACCTCAAACTGTTAGCAAAGGCGATTCAAGCCAATCTTCACCATGGGCTCCCTTGGCTCCGATGCAAAGCTACCATGGATCCGAACACCATGTCTCTTGAATCCTCAATTGTCCCGCGTGGCAGGCTGGTGAGCTTCACCGTCACGACTTAGGTCAAACCAACTAACAGCATCTGAGCAATGTATACCTTAAGCTTGAGAATCTTCAACCCTCAGGCTCTTTCAAGTCTCGCGGCATTGGCAACCTTATGACCCAAGCGGCTGCTGCTGCCACAGGCCCGGTCCACTTCTACTGCTCATCTGGAGGCAACGCTGGTCTGGCATGTGCAACTTCTGCCCTCTCTCTGGGCCAAAAGGCGACTATCGTAATTCCTACCATCATTACTGAGCTAATGAAGGGCAAGCTTCTCGACCTTGGGGTGAAAGTACACCAAAAAGGCAGGAATTGGGCCGAGTGTGACAAGTATATGTGCGAGGAGCTATTGGCAAACGATCCCATGGGCATATATGTCCCGCCCTTCGACGATCCTCGGGTTTGGGATGGTGCAGCAACTATGGTTGATGAGATCCGAGATCAACTTGAAGAGCCCATCGAAGGGATCGTCTGTAGCGTCGGAGGCGGCGGTTTGATCAATGGCCTGATGCAAGGCGTTGAGGGCCGTCCCTGGCAAGATAAGAAACCAGCTGTCGTGGCCGTCGAAACGAAGGGAGCAGACAGTCTCAACGCAAGTGTCCTTGCCAAAGAACACGTAACTCTCCCTGAGATGACCTCGATCGCAACGTCTCTGGGCGCCACCAGAGTGTCAGAGCAGACTTGGAAATGGAGCCAGCATTCTTCGGGTACTATGAAGAGCCTCGTTGTATCTGATGCGGATGCTGCCATTAGTGCCGTGCGCTTCGCTGACGATGGGCTGCATTTGGTTGAAGTCGCTTGCGGTGCTGCCCTGGCTCCCGCTTACCGAGGGGATCTGAGAAGAGTGCTTGGACAGGGCATGTCCGACGAGGAATGGGGTAAGAAGAACGTGGTGATTGTGCTTTGTGGTGGCTCGAATGTTACTCTGGGCATGCTCAATGAATATCGGGATAAGTATCGAGGGGAATCCTCAATCAAGATTTGAGTGAGTCCATAGAACATACACATACACATACACATACGAATAGAGACATAGAGACGGGAGTAGATAAATAGACGGTTAATTATCAGAACTTCGTCGCAAGCTGCGTATCGCTGGCCATAATCTCTGACTCCTGTCGCCAGTCAGGTCCCTTTTGTTGCGCCAAACTCCCAGATGCCCTTCGGCAAATCTAACGTTTGCTTGCACCCCCTCTACCCTTTGCAGTTCCCTTTTCTGCCTTTGCCTGGTCAACAAACTCTTTCATGATCTGGTGTAAATCGGGATTCTTTCTGGCAAGAAGTAACACATCATCTGTTGTCACTGTGGACCGTCCAGCGTGATTACTGAAGCTCTCCAGATCTGTGGCAACGTTTTCTGTTTTCCAGTCAGCACCCTCCCCCGATACTAAAGTGAGAGCGGTTATTGTTGTTTACCGATTTGTGTCCAGACTAGCTCTGTGAGTGCACCGATGAACTGTGGTGTTGCATTTCGGCTACGGCGTAGAGACTCCTCATCGACAATTTGACCAACTGCGTACCACAAGGCAGCCTTGAGGCGCTACATTTGATTGATTAGCTATCCGTGGAACATTGCCAGAAATGAAGGAAGAGTTTCCTACCTCTCGATCTTCGTCACTAGTTGTGTCTGCCATTTCGATAGTTTGCTCGATGAAAGATAACGTACTACTACCTAGGCACAGAACGTGTTTAGACGCGTTGTGGGGTAGTAGCATGCTGCACCAAGCTGATGGCGGGGTACGCAACTGAACGACGACAGACATCACTGATAATTCGGCGGAAGGTATAAGTTATGAAGGAAACTCTCTGCCTGATACAACGAATACGCATTGAGAGATGAGACAAGTAGTCTCTTAGTATGGAGCTGATAGTGATGTGTTCGGGATGACCACAGATGTTGTGCATTTGTCTTCTGTATACGATTTGCCAGATAAAGCATATAGTTAGTAGACAATAATTGGTGGTGCTTCTCGAATGTCAATGTCAGGAAAAGGAAATAATTCCGGCTTGCTTGTAAAGATGTCTCTCCGCCTCCTAACGGCAAGTCTTCCTAGTTAACCAGGGACCTGACCTAGTAGGGGTGCCAGGCTCTCATGGCAACGAAGCTATAACATAAATCAAGGTTGTTGAAGAAAGAGCATGGCTAATGCAGGGACATCCAGATTCTTTAGAACCTTTAGCTAGGTAGCTAGATGGCATACCCCTGTCGTGAAGTTCGGGACCTGAGCAGTTCTTCATCAACTTTTCGGCAGTTCTTGAACCCCCCTGTCCATCTCTTCTTGTTCAGTTCTGGTTTAATTGGTAAAGCTTTCAGTAGAGTTGATCTCCCGGTTTCAGTCGTCATTGGCGTTCAAGTTTTTTCAAGGTTGACATCATCAGAAACCTGAGACTAATGATCGACAATGGGTATTCTGCTCCACCGAATATGAGCGACTATACCGGCATATTCAATTTTCCCATATTCAAGCCATAATTGAGGAAGATATCTATTAACTTGTAAGTTCCAATCCTATTCTTCCTCCTGCTTAAGAATGGTTTCCATTGGACAATGAGTAGGTAGGTAGATGAAGAAGAAGCTCTCCCCAATTCCATCTCATCCAAGCCACAACACGCCAGCGTCTCCACTAACGAAACAAAGGCTGTGCACGTGTTGCATCCAATCATACGCATGCAAGCCACACACCCAAAGTCGTCATCACCAGATTCGGCCGCCTTAGCATCGCCACTCTTAATGCGATGAACAGAAACTCGGCCACTTCCACACAATCAGATGCTTTGCAATGGCGCTGGGAGGGATCCCAGCTACGTAATAATGGATGTCTTGCGCAAGCTTAGTCTCCATACGCAAGAAACCACTTAAACCCCGAATTCCTCACCCAGTCTACCTATCCCCCTCCACGAACCTTAATCCTCACATCTTCCGTTATTTTCTTGACAATATTCGTATAATCCTAAGCAACCATGGGTGCCAAGTCAGGAACCGCTCTCAAGTTCCTTCAATGGTTCATTCGTGGCATTCAATTTGCCTGTGCAGCCCTCATCCTTGCCATTTACTCCTACTTCTTAGCCACGCTCCACAACCACAACCTTCACATCAGCGATACCATCCGCGCCGTGGAGGGTATCTCTGGTGTAGCTGTTCTCTACACTGCTGCAGCTTTGGTACTTGTCTGCTGTCTCGCTGGTCGTACACTTTCTTCTCTCTTGGCCATCATCCTGGATGTCGCTTTCATCGGTGCATTTATCTATGTTGCTGTTGCCAACAAGGGTGGTGCTAGCAGCTGCACTGGCTATCTAGACACTCCATTTGGTAAAGGAAAGGCTGGAAACACTGCCGAGGGCAGTGATGGATTCACTGCTTTGCCGAGTTACCGCACGGCCTGCAAGCTCCAGTCTGCTTGTCTAGCTGTTTCTATCATTGCCATGCAAGTCACAAATCTAGACACGACCGTACCGCAACCCAACTGACCTTTCAACAGTATTTTCTTCATATTATCCATTGTGTTGGAGGTTGCCCTTGCTCGCCACCACCGTAAGGAGAAGCGTTTCGGCCCCAGTCCTGCTAACGATTACACCTCGGGCTATGGTGCCAAGGGTGGATTCCTGGGCCGTATATCCCGTCGTCGCAAGGCTGCTGCCGCCGAAGAAGGTCATGATTTGCCGGAGCATACTCACCCTGATCAGCTCGATGCATATCGCCAGAGCCACACCACAGATCGCACCGCCGTCAACAACTACCCTGACAATACCTACAACAAGTACGATAACACCGGCTTCAGTTATCAAGACCCCAAGTATGCGCGCCAGGACGGTTATGGTCAGATTCACTACCCTGAGCCTGAGTATGGTGTCACTCAACCGCCCGCTCGTCAGACTGAGAATCCAAACTATCGCTATGAAGACGGTGTTTACGATCGCACTTAAGTTGGAACGAAAGAAACTAGAAATCCCAATTGGAAAATTGCACAGAATGATACCCGGAATGTAGCTCCCGGCAGAAATAATATGTCGCTCGCAAACGATTACATAGGGTTTGGCTAGCCCGCCTAATGATTAATTATATGCTTTTTGATCCTTTCAAAGCCGGGATAATAGTGATGAGCCATTTTCCCACTGGTGGGCGTGCAATTCAAGGCTGGGCTGCTCACATTTTCTTCTTGCCTTGAACTCAAATCTCTTAGTTTATTTTGTCTCCAGGGTCTTTCGCCGCTTGAACTACTTTATACTCATCTGACAGGCTGGTGGTGCCTTCGCTTTAATCTCTTCCATGTCCATATCATCGCAGAACCAAGCCTCAATATCAATCAGAGAGGTTGAACTGTTACATCCCAGACCAAAAAGCTGATGTAACGGGAAACTCACAAACTACGAGTCTTAACGGAAACTAAACAAACAACTCGCTGTTTGTCAATCGCCATACCAACCAAAAGCGCCCGAGCAAGAACCCCTTGGTGTAACAGTGGAGGCTTACCAGACCTCACCCGGCTCTAGTTCGCTCATGCCATCGTCGCCTCCCCCATCCGTCCAATTCAGCTCCAGCTTCTCAAGTTCTCTAGAGAAAAAGTCCTGCTCGTCTCGCATAGCAGCTCTGATATCTGGTGCGATCTTATCTGGGTACCGGCGAAGGTTAAGCCAGTGCGTTAGGCTGCGCAATGCTTGTTCTAGGGGGAGCGCTGCATCGACTTCGGCATCCACGTCACTTCCCGCAAGCCATTCGTCCTTCAGCTCCGGTCGACAGTGTAGATATATCGCCGTGATCACCCGCATGTTGCTCTGTCGCCACTTACGGCCGCAGTAGGGAACTTGGTTCTTGAACAATTTAAGTGTGTAAAGGCGTAATTCTGGTTGAGGTACTTTGAGAGACTTCCTAAGGATTGTTGACGACTTATATTGGACAAGCAGCAAGTTTCGGTGTGCTTTGTTTTTGCAAATCTTTTGCATCACTCTCAAGTAATTAATGAGGGAGAAGAAGTTGCGGCGCGAGAAGTCCGTGATAGGCTCTGTCGGCTGTTGATTAAGGGGATAGCCAAGCTCGTCTACTTCGGGTCTCGTTGAAGAAGCGTGGTCATCGCTGTTGGAATCTGTGTCATCGTAGTTTTGCGCAGTTGGTGATCGTCTTCTCCTAATTGGCGGGGGTGCAGCCTCGTCTTCACTCTCTTCTATCTCTTCGTCATCCCCTTCATCTTCTTCCTGCACCGAGTCTGCAGTTGCCTTATCTCTAGATTGCGACAACAGGTTACAGAAATGGAAGAAACTAGGAATATTAATAGACTGGTTCTCAACTCCTAAGCATTACATCATACCTATTTTCAGCGCGGTCCATTTTGCTATCGACCACTTGCTGAACATCTTGATGAGCAAAGAGCTTGAGGACGAGAGGGACGTAGTTAGAGTCCAGTAGAAGTTGCGTCATATACTCAAATTTGAGGACATCTATTTGATATCAGTAAAGCAGACAATCGAATAGACTTTGTCAACATACGAGAAACTCTCAGCCATTTCAACAGGAGTATGAGAATACCAGTCATGGCTTTGGATGTGATTTCCCGAGTCCTGGCGGCGTCGACTTCTTCTAGCGATAATTCAGGTGTCGGTGGTTTGGGGAGGCCTTGTCCGGGCAACTCCTGCTGCTGTCTGTTCGCCGAAGGACCGCCGTTCATGCCAGGATTGTTACCTCTACCCATTCCTGGCGGTGCTTGTTGAGGCTGCTGCGCGACGATTGCTGTCACGTTAAGAAGAATCGGCCGCAGCAGCACTATCACAAGCGATTGGAGGTGAGGCAGAGCATCACGCTAAACGTCGTTAGCATCTTCCCCATTTTAATGGTTCGTTTTTACCACCCACATAGAACTTTTCAACAGCAGCAAGCCGTTGCTTGTCTCGTTCAGACAACAGCTCTGGTCGAGGACCATAGTCAATCTCCGGTTCAGGAGCGACGGGATGCTTTCTCTTCTCCTCTGCTTTTGTCTGCGCTTTTACCGCCTTCAGGATCTCTTGCTCTTCTGCCGAAAGCTCATTAAGGTCTAGACCCTCGATCTCATCGTCATCATCATTGTGGTCACTGTTATAACCACGCTCGAACTTGAGAAATCGCTCGCGCTCTTCCCAAAGCTGGCGAGTCGCTCGCGTCATCCTGACTCGTTTAGAGAATAACTCTCCGGCTTCTAGGATGGAAGCGGGAATATCGCTTCCTTCCCATTTTCGGCCGACCAGAGCATGTTGAAGGCCGGAAGGGCCTTTCCCACCAGCAAAGTTGCTCGACGCATCTAAGGGAGGGTACATGAATGGGAAATTCTGGTTTGTTTGATAGTTCTGTTTCTTGCCTCCCTTTCCGTTAACAGCTGGAGAAGGGGGTGGTGACGGCGCCGGGGTTGCAATGTGTACTGGTTGGTCAAGAATTGAGGTTCCTCCACTGTGAACCTGGGGTGGCGCGGGGATGATACCGTTAGCACCGTTGTTCCTGGAAACTTGACTCGAGAGAGCGGGTAATAAAGAGGTGTTATCTGCTTCAAGTGGAATGGCTGGTCGCGGAGGTACATATGCTGGGTATTTTGAGGTAATCTCTTGCCGGAAAACGTGATAATCTAGGGGCGAAGCAGTGATGGTCTTCTTATCAGCTGCTTTGTCTCCCATCTCATTAGTAGCGTCTTTGATAGCTTCGAGCTCTTTGGTTCCACCAAAAACAAGTAGAATCGATTTCCAAAACAGTAGAAGTATCTGTTGAAGAATGAGCATCACGGTGTGAAACACGACTGCTCAACATACCTGAGTTTGGGGCATGGCATTTTGCTCATCCCATCGTAATTTCGAAGTTGCTGTAAACATGTAATCGACCATCGAGGGGTTGAGTTCCACTATTCATATCAGTCAAGGCCAGACGGAAGACGAAGAAAAAGCTTACACAGTTTTCCGTGCGTAGAGGACATGTCTTCTGGGTCGTTGAGAGTTTCCTGCACTGCAACGTACATGATGGTCATAAGATTCATCAGCTCATCCTGAGCTTCTTGGGCGCTGTTATGCTGCCCTAAGGGGTCCCCTGACCTGGAGTCTATATTCAGTTTCATGCTGCAGAAGGTACGTCATGCTATGCTCACCACTGTACTTCGAAGTTACTCCGCAGGGCTTCCCATATCACGGGCAGCCCTTCCAAAGAGCTAAGACACTCGACTCCAGCCTTGATAGCCTGCAGCTGCGGAATACTCGCAACAGATCGGCTATCCCCTGGTGTCGCATTCGGCATGGCGGTATCATTCCAACGGCCCAAAACCAGATACACCAGCTTCCCAATAGAAGCTGACCGTAGTGCAGCATCATTGGATTGCACGCCCGCTATAGCGGTTTGGACAAACCGTGCCCGAGTATCATTATCTGCATCATCCCATGAGTCCTGAGATCTCGACTCATGCTGCCAGTGCCACTTAAAAGCTCTCTGTGCAGCACTGAGCCTAACCCACTGTGGTACCTGATAGTTGAACCACTCGTCTATCTCTTCGGCATGCGGACCCATGTCGGTGTACTCAAAATCATAGGCGACAGGATCGGCGCGATTGAACTCCGCTACTATATGGCGCAATTGCTGGAGAGAGAGCGAGTCAGTCCCCGAAGGCTGGTCATTTGAAGGAAGAGGCGCCATAGGCGCGGCTGGAGGGGCGCCTTGTAGAGAGTTTCGCTCGAGGGGAGGCCGTGCTGCTGTGGGCGGCGCAGGAACCGGTGGAAGATCGGGCTGTTCGGCCTCGCCGGCGAGGTCAGCGATTTCGCCTGTATCAGTTACATCTTCTACCGGAGTAACAGGTTGCGCATCGTCCTGAGAGGCCCTCGGAGGCCAGACGTTGCTCATGGTGTTGGTCGGTTGCTCGTGAGGTTGATCTAAACAAATGCCCCGCCAAATTTGATGTTTTTCGTTTCGGTGCTTAAGCCATACTGGAAATACTGCTTGATTGAGTATTGGTGACAAGGAAAACAAGCATGCGGCTTTTGTCTCAACCGATACTTTGGGGAGACCGAAATGTATGACTATGTTGAGTGATAATGGTTGTAGACGTGGCCTGGTTGAGTTGATGGAGGAGGAGGGCACCCGACACCTCAGTCTTGAGAATTGGTAAGTAACGCCTGCCGAATATAATTGGCGGATGCTCTAAGGTACGAATGCAGGTCCTGGAAGCCCAGGCGCAACTAGGTAAAGGCCCCCCCATCCTCCTCCACCATTCATCATAATTGCGGTGGTCATTAATAAAAAGGTTAGTACTTACTACCTTACCTACTACCTATGACAGCAACTACATATAGGTATGGAGGTAAGACAAATAATTTAAGAAGAGCTCAAGTTTAACTCCGTTTTTATATTTTAAGTTTACGAAGGTATAAAACTATATCTCATAGACGTTTTAACTTAAAGGAATATTCTATATATACTTAGTCATAAATATAATTTAGAATAAGTAATATTCATGATTTGAAGCTTGTATAGTTTACTAAATAATACTTCTCTTTATCTATAGCTTCTCTGGAATTCGTTCACTTGGAACCTGACGAATCTGCATTAGAGTCATGATCCGCATCTCCCTCTTTCAATGCTTGTTTCTGTCCTTTTTTTGCTTTTGCCCTTTTTCGTAGCTTCTTCAGACGATTCATCCTCTTCTTCTTGTCTTTTACATGCTCCTCTTTCTCGGCCAGTTTTTTGACCTCGGCTGCTTTCCTCTCTTCCATTTCCTTTGCTCGTTTTCTTAAGGATATCCGTTGTTTCTTCCCTGGTCGCCGTTTTGTTTGTGCCACTTCACCCTGTGCCCGTTTTTCATTCGCCCTGGCTTTTCGAGTAATAGCGAGTTTCGTAACCTTCCAAGGAACCTGGAGGCCCCAAGCCCTGACGTGTGATCTTGCCAACACTTGATCCCCACTCACTGCTGCTACAGTATACTCATGCTTTCGTTCTGCAGAGACGTTTTTAACCACATAGTAACTGAGTGGTCGACCGCTCACAAAAGTTCCATCGCCTGTTGGTCCATGATCTTCCTCCAGAACAACCTTTTGGCTTGGTGGGGCTTTGCTGAAAAGTCGAAAAACAAATTCTTCTTCCTCATCATCCTTCGCGGCGGGAATAGCCTCTGATTCTCCAATACCGTTATCACGAGACTCTTTGCTTCCTCTTAGAGAACAGTCCTTGATCGCGACGTCAGGCGTCGGTTCTGCCAATACTTCCAGTCCCAATGCTCTTGCGATCTGTTCATTCAGTTTTGCGCGCAACTCGGCATCACAAATGCCGTCGACACTCCAATTCTCTGCGCCATCATCTGATTTGTCCAGATCTTCTCTTCGAACCCTGAAAAGCGAGTTAATGAATGGGAAAAAAAAGAGCCAGGGTAAGCAGGTCATCAATTACCTCTTTGCTTCAGGCACTTCAAACATGCTGCTCTCTCTGTGTGCCAATGGTGGATGGCCGTAGGGCAGGTTTGTCTTGATGTGAGAATAGAAACAAAGACTACGATGTTGTTGTCAAGAGAATGCCGCAAGATAAGTCAGGGAAGCAGATTAGCGGGGATCTTTCGAGGCTGGGCAACTTCCATCAAAAGCCAAGGTGCTTTAAGCGGCAAAATCTCCGTATATCAAAATTCCGCGACGCAGCGTGTTATCTTATCGCCTCTTTACGGTGCCTGGGTACCTTAAACTGTATTGGATGCGGATCGTGCCTAGTTACCTTACCTAAGGAGGTTAGTGCCTAAGGTTAATACTTTGGAGGCAGTACTCTCCCGAGAGCTTCCATTGCCTCCAATCAAAGTATTGAATATTTGTCAAAAGGGTTAGTGTTCACTGCTACAGATAAAATTCGTGATATCGTCTGATCGCCCGTTGATTGAAAGACAATCATCTCTAGTACCTTAGTTTAAGGACAAACAGAAGGCGAGCATCAATCAGTGATATTCTGTTACACTTGATCTAACATTGCCTCTTAACACTAGTCAACCTGAACTTCAGCTCTTCAGGTGAACCAATCAGATTACCTTCTGCACTTACAGAACAGATCTATTAACAAAGCCATCCCCCACGATAGCCCTTCTTAGAGGCTCAAATACGACCAGGCTATTGAGACATCGACTTGGCACAGCGCAAGCATGAGGGGGGCATGGCATTAGATGGCCCGGGCCTCGGAGGACCATTCGATGGTGCGACGTTCGTGTGACCTCAGCTATTCATCACTTATAACTATTAAAGAGCTCAAGGCCCCGAGTTTGCAATGTAGTTCTCAGCACAAGCGTTTCGTTGAAAGGACCAACCAGGGGTAGGATTATGACTACTACCTCGTACCTATATTCATTTTGCAACCCTACCCAACTATCGATTCAGACCTGCACTTCCTTCACACAAGCGATCGGTCAAACCAGTCACTTAAAAGCCCCAGGGAATTCCTTCATCACATTCCGATTGTTTTTTTTTTACTACTTCATTGATACATAAGGGACTCGAGCTCAGCGGCAACTTTTTGGACATGCCACTTGACAAAATAAACACCGCCCTATGACGGAGCTGGTACAATCCGCAGATTCATACCCGCAGGAGAAAATAAACAAGAATATTTCAACAAACAAAATCATCAGAGAAGAAGATACGCCCTTGTTTCGCCTGAATCGTCCTTTAGCCCCAGACATGCAACGGCGTCTCGAATCGTTGCAGAACCAGCCGCGCTGCATTAATGAGAGGTTTCGAATTGACCAGTTCTCATCGTTCCCCAGCGTCATTAGCCTCTAGTCATCCGTTATCAATCCTCGTGTATCAAACCCTCTTCCTTCTTTCTCCTTCGGCCAATCCTTTTCACCTCCATTAACTCTTCATCATTCTCGCCTCTGCCTCCGGCTCCGTCTACTTTCTGGTATCCATGTTTCAAATCAGTGCAAGCCGCCCAATTCAGATTGCCAACACCATCCGTCATAAAAAATAGAAAAACTCCAGTAGGTATTGTTACAAGCTCACTGACAAACGAACCAAGCGCTCCACAAGTCCAGTGGTTGTCATGCTTCTCGTTAGGCCAACATCTTTTGATGGCAACTTTTTGTATATCGTCAAACGCGAGCTTCTTAACTGTGGATAAAATAAGACATAGGAGTCTAGTTCCCATTCCAGGAATATTGATGCATGGCATCAAAAGAGCCTCTCGCGGCTCCGTTATAGACCGACGAACCCTGCGGCTGGCTCGATTCGGTCTTCGATGGCGACGATCCCGCAGGCGTACTCTTGTACTCGTCTTGAGGGAAAGGGTATGGTCGAGACTCGGCAGTGCTAGCATATGCCAGATTCGTACTATGCTCCCCAGACGCTGATGTCCAGGTGTGTGCAGGCGCGTAGTAGTCTCTTGCAGGCACTGAAGGTGGCCCAGACGTTTCTGGGTTGTAGCTGGGCTGCGTAACCTCGCTAGAACTCGAGTTCACGGGGGCATACGGGGCGTATCGATATTCTGGAGAGGCGTCGGTGTTCGCTACTGAGCCCGCACTCCTTATCGATGGGTGACTCATGTGTCGTGGGCTTTTCAACGGCCTTGGGTTATCGACGTAACGAGGGATGTTCATGGCCTGGTCATGGCTTCCGAGCGGAGTGGTGTGTATCGATAACTGCGGGGGGCCAGTCGTTGTCTGCATATTATAAGTATACTGGGATCGGACTGGTGGGTGCTCCGAATCATTCGTTACCATGGATATGGGCACAGGGGGTTCCATCGATGATTGGATGGGCATTCCTTGTGATTCGGCAGGGAAACTGGCCGTACCAGCCAGAGGGCCCATTGACGCCGCAGGGTAACTCTCTGCGCCAGAGGTTGGGATATGACCCAAGGGAACCTGGGCTGGCGGTGTCCCCCAAGTTGGATATGAGCTACAAATCAGTCAGTACGGCTCAAGTCGAGATACAACCAAAGTTGATCCAGGCGCAAACTCACTTAGATCGTATTGGGCCTAATTGTGTGCCCGGGATCTTTGGCGCGTTGAAGGTAAAGGCTGTCCGTGGGAGTTGGGCGTCAATGCCTCTTGGTTTCGCTTCCTGGTGCTTTGCGCTCAAGGGGCCCGCAACAACTCCCACTCCAGTTTCCACAAGGGCTTGTCCTCGGGATCCTGCACTGGATCCTAACAAAGGGATCTCCTTTCGAGCTTGAAAGTTACGAGGGCTTCGCCCCCTGACGACGATGGGCGCCGTGGTGGATTCCGTGAGCACAGTCTTGTTACCATTGGCCAATGTTCCAACAACTTTTAGATGGAGGACGAAATGTTGCTGAAGCTCCTTTCGACGACCATTGTTTGCAGTTGCGCTGTGATCGTATTAGCAAGCGAATGCTGCCAGTGCAGCCAATGACTTACATCCTGAATTGAAGGCGTCGCCACCCGATGGGATAAACGGCATATTCACCATCGGATTCTGTCCCGTCGTCCTGGAAAGGAATTAGAGGCAGAGACTGCGGTTCTTGATCAGGGGTTTGGTTTGTGTCTGGTGAGTTTGGTGGAGGGGTTTTCCACGGAATCACGATTAATCGGACCGGGTTGCCATCAACAGACTCAATGGCAGAAATAGTAACCTCCATGTTACTGACTGCAACAGTCTCGCCAGATTCGGTGATCACAGACAGTTGACCTCGTGGAGTAACAAGGGTGCCGCTGATTTGAAAAAGATTTCTTCGGTAACAGGTCAACTCAGGCTGTCTGAGCGAGCCATCCGATGTGTTCGCAGGCATTTCGGAAAGGAAGAACATCCCGTGGAGTTGAGCGGACAACTCTAGTTGTTGCATGCGGCCTTGCTGGTCGACAATGGTGTGTTTATCCTGTGTTCTCTTGAAGGCCAAGAGCTTGTGCTCGTGGCTGGCTGTCATCTTGGAGCTGTCATCACGGAGATCCTGGACAATTTCCTGGTAAGCAGGTGGTTCTGCTTCAGAGAAAGATCTCTTCAGGTTTGGGTAGCCATGATGTGAGACAATTTCTGGGTGCGCAGGTCTGTCGTATGCTTCTTGGTCGTCTTGGGGATATCGGCTGTAGGGGTAAGAGGGCTGATCCATCTCGGTATGATTACTACTAGTCCGTCCTGAGAGCGGCGAAGAAGTTGATGGCATGGGATCTGCCACTCGACCTGGTATGTGTACTGAGCCTCCGTAACTTGACCACATGCTTGAATGCCCTGGGTGTCCTCTCAAATCTGCCATAGTGGCCGGGTATGCCGTTGCGGTTGTCATGGGAGCATAAACTATTCAACTTTGCCGCTTCCTCAACCAGACCAAGTTGCCTGGACTTTGACCCGTCTCTAGTAACGTGGTCCTGAGAACATCAATGTCGATACAGATCAGGCCAAACAAGATAGTCGAGATAAAAGAATCTCGCGAGACGTGTTTGGCGCAAGGTGTGGTGGAAGCGAAGGAACAACACGATACTCAAGACACCGGGGAAGTGATGTTTGAGGTTGATGGTGCAAGTGTGTACTTGTATATGGAAATGGATGGCGGCCAGAGGAACGGCAGATGATGGAGGGGAGTGTTTAGTACAACACCCGGCACTGTCCCCAGGGTGGAGACCGAGTTTGACGGGGGGCTGTTTCGAGGTCCAGGCACAGGGACTTGGGTCAGTGCTGTCGACAATACCTAGTAGTATCGAGTCCAGAGAGAGTTCTTAGTATAAACTCTCACAGACAGTCATGAATGTCTGCGGGCTGGGAGACCACTTCAGCGCATGCGGCCGTTCTTGGAAGGAGGACGGGGAGTGGAGGGGCGGATCTGAGAAACAAAGCAGCCTGTTGTGATATTGGAGGCTGATTTCATGCAAATTCTTTGGCAATGCTGGGTTCTTAAGAGAAGGCAATAATCTGCTCGACAGCAGTGATGGTAGACACCAACGAAGCCTACAGCATAAAGAGTCTACGTAGTAGAAGATGAGTTTATTAAACGCTGTTTCTCTAGGAGACAAGCAATCCTGATAAGGTGGATGTATCAATGGAACTTGTAATGGAGCTCGGACAAAGCTATGCCCCAGAGACTTTCTGATAGAGAGGGTCAGGTCCAGAGAGGACCGCAAACTGCCGGATACAGGCAGGATAGCAGAAGCAAAGGACATGACCGCCGACAACGCCGGGGCTTTTGGGAGCCAGGACCTTCACACGAGGTAAGAGAAGACATCCCATCCCAGACACGCCCCAGCACGTAGCGTAGTCCCTTGCCATGCCATCCCCTCGTCAGCGTCTACCGAGGGGTTCGAGAAACACCCCTGCTCGTCAAGCCCAGCACGAAAGAGAAAGCCCATGTACTGTTGACAAGTCATGCCGCTAAAGTTTGGATAAGAGCATGGCCTGCCCAACGCAAGGTTCACGTACTGGCTACCCCCATCCATGCTGGTTGGGATGAGATGGATAGAGCAAATGGGTCGAGCGGGGACACGGGGACTATCTCT